CTCTGTGGTTCTGCTGTGTCGAACAGCTCTAGTAGCACCCAGGGGTGATGTATTCAAGCAGCTCCCCTCCCCTGCTCACAGCACTGCTCTCCCTGCCAGAGCACCAGCACATCCGCTACAACCCGCTGCGGGACGACTGGGTCCTGGTGTCTGCCCACAGGATGAAGCGCCCCTGGCAGGGGCAGGTGGAGAAGCCGGTGCAGGAGGATGTGCCCCGCCACGACCCGTCCAACCCGCTGTGCCCTGGGGCAACGCGAGCTAATGGGAAGGTAGGAGACTGGTGCAGGGGCTTGGGGAGCGCTGGGGACAGAGACACTTGGACGTGCGTCCGGGCCACGGGGGAGCGGTGTTGGTATTCCTGTGTTGCGGAGCACGCGCTTGTCCAACCCAGCCTCTCTGTTTGTGCCCCTGGGAAGTGTCTGCCACAGCCACCCGTCTATCCCCTCTTTGGCACGGTCCCCAGGTCGTGGCAGGACTGAACAGACTGAGCTGCCCCTATAGGGGCTCTGGTGGGGACTGGGAACCTAAGCCATGTTGGGGCCCTATTGGAGCCTGTGGCCAGCACTGGGATTCCCTCTGCTGTGTGCGCCAGTAATGGTCTGAACTCCTCCGTCAAATCCACTGGCCCATAGCCATGCTGCGGTCACCCTTAGCCAGTGTCCTGCTCTTCTGGAACAGCCCCAGCTACATGTGGGCTGCAGCTTCTTCAGGAGCACCCCCATGAGGGAGTGCTGAGGTCAGCTGGCTAGTGGGATGCTAATAACACCAAGGTCACAGGTTTTGATCCCTAGTTGGGCCAGGTGATTTCTTGAGGTCCCTTCTATGAGATCTGGTTCTGTGGTGATGAGCATGATGTGGGCAACCCGCTGCTGGAACCCTGCCCCGGTCCGGCTGGTCTGAGCAGATCTTGCTGACTGCAAAGACCCCCTTCCCCCTGCTTTTTGTGTGCTTCATCACCTCAATTTCTGCTTAGACCCTCTTTCAGGAACTTGCCTGCAGGCCATTGTGTTGCAGAACAGCATTGTATTGCAGAACCGCTCCCTTTTGTGATGGCAAGTAGCCCCTTCCTGGGGTGGGGGGGCCTCTGCAGACTCCCTGGAGCCAGAGGCTGGGGCTGCAGTCTCCTTGCTTTTGTCTGGCCCCTGGCTCCTGCATTAGCATAACAACACTTGGCATGCCACAGCCTAAGGGAATTGGCTCTTTGACCCTTGTGCTTTGTTAACCCAGGGCTTGCTGGAAGTTGGATTGGGGTTTGGACATGCAGTTGGAATGCCTAATCTGCCCTTGCCTGTTCCCAAAATGGCATTGTGACTCCTCTGCACCCCTGCGGTGGGGTACAGCATCTCGGCACATGCAGACGGGCCTGTTTGATGTCACTGGCAGCACGGGACCTGTTTCATACCTTCTAGGGTCAGAAGGGACCTGAGTAGATCATCTAGTCCAACCCCCTGCCATGGCAGGGAAGAGCACTGGGGTCAAACAACCCCAGCAAGGTGTACATCTAACCTCCTCTTAAAGCCCCCCCAGGATAGGAGCCAGCACCACTTCTTCTCTTGGAAGTTGGTTCCAGATCCTAGACGCCCTGACCGTGAAGTTGCGCCTCCTGATGTCTAGTCTGAACCTACCCTCTGCCAGCTTGTGACCATTATTCCTGGTCGTGCTCAGGGCAACAGACTTCCCCAGTGCCTGCTGGTCCCCCCCCCCGACTAGTTTGTAACAAGCCACTAGATCCCGCTCCTCCTTCTCTTGTAGAGGCTGAACACATTCAGGTCCCATTGCCTCTCCTCACAGGGCCTGCCCTGCTGCCCCCGATCATGCGAGTGACCCTCCTCTGGACCGTCTCCATGCTGTCCACATCCCTCCTGAAGTGTGGCGCCCAGAACTAGATGCAGTACTCCCAGCTGCGGCCTGACCAGTGCCGCATAGAGGGGGAGGATCACCTCCCTGGACCTGCCTGAGGTGCATCTGTGGATGCACGACAAGGTGCGGTTGGCCTTCCTGACCGCGTCCCTACACTGCTGGCCCATGTTCATCTTGGCATCAATGATGACTCCAAGATCCTTTTCTGCCTCTGCACTGACAAGAAGGGAGTTCCCCAGCCTGTAGGTATGGTGCTGGTTCTTCCTCCCTAGGTGCATCACTTTGCACTTGTCAATGTTGAATCCCATCCTGTTCTCATCTGCCCACCCTTGTAACCTGTCTAGGTCTGATTGCAGCCTATTCCTCCCTTCTAGCGTGCCCACAGCCCCCACGTCTTAGTGTCATCAGCAAATTTGAACAGGTGCTTTTTACCCCCTTGTCCAAGTCGCTGATGAAGATGTTGTACAGTGCGGGTCCGGACCGAGCCCTGGGGGAGCCCACTGCCCACATCCCTCCAGGTCAAACATGACCCATCCACCACCACTCTCTCTGGGTGTGGCCCTCCAGCCAGTTGGCGACACATCTGACTCTGTGGGTGTCAACACCACAGCCCTGCTGTTGCTGCTTGGACTATTGCTAAAGCTTTGCAAGAAGCTTTTCCCCCCACAGAGGCTGTTGTGTTTCCACATGCATGGGGGCACATGCTGCTTTCTTCAACCCATGAAGATGCACCTGCTTGAGCTGCCCACATGCCATAGTTAAGTAGGGGGCTTCTCTTTCTCCTTCAGCTGGGGATAGCTCCTGAGCACATGGAGATTTGCACTCTTTCTTCCCCTCTGCAGTGGTGCCAATGCATGTTCTCTAAACACCCCTGAACTTCCTTCAGCAGCAGCTGGGGGGCAAAGAGGCTATGAGATGGATTTACAGTTGTTTGTGCCCCAAACTCTGCTGTGCTCCAAGCATCGCTGCTCAAGCTGTGGGTTACAGAGCAGGCTGTTGCTATAAGAC